TTTTTTTTTTTTAATTTTATTTATTTGACAGAGTAAGAGAGGGAATACAAGCAGAGGAAGGAAGCCAGAGAGGGAGAAGCAGGCTTCCCGCCGAGGAGCCCAAAGTGGGGCTCGATCCCAGGATGCTGGATTCATGACCTGAGCCGAAGGCAGACATTTAATGACTGAGCCACCCAGGCGCCCCTGGTATAACATTCTAATGAGAGCACCATCAACAGATTCAAAAAGACTTCATCACAAATCTTTTAGATGGAAATACATAAAATTGTGTTCTAGAGAACTAATGTTTAATGAAAGGAGAGAACAGAAATAAAAAATGCTTCTAAACTCTTATATTTAAACATATGATCTGAAAGTAATAATTAAGAACTAAATGCTCTAGGAAGGTTTTTTTTTGTTGTTGTTGTTGTTGTTTTTAATATTTAACTATTTTATCTTTAGTCCTAGAAGTTTACATACTCACTTGGGTTAAAAACTTTTTTTGGATTTTCTTTTTAAAAAATGAGGAATTTTATCAGAGAAATTAAAATCAAAACCTCATTGAGATACCACCTTAAACCAGTGAGAATGGCCAAAATTATCAGGACAGGAAACAACAAGTGTTGGAGAGGATGTGGAGAAAGGGGAACAGTCTTACACTGTTGGTGGGAATGCAAGTTGGGGCAGCCACTTTGGAAAGCAGTGTGGAGATTCCTCAAAAAATTAAAAATAGAGATAACCTATGATCCTGCAATTGCACTACTGGGTATTTATCCCAAAGATACAGATGTAGTGAAAAGAAGGGCTATATGTACCCCAATGTTTATAGCAGCAATGGCCACAGTCGCCAAACTGTGGAAAGAGCCAAGACGCCCTTCAACAGATGAATGGATAAAGAAGATATGGTCCATATATACAATGGAGTATTATGCCTCCATCAAAAAGGATGAATACCCAACTTTTCTATCAACATGGACGGGACTGGAGGAGATTATGCAGAGGGAAAGAAGTCAAGTAGAGAAAGTCAATTATCATATGGTTTCACTTACTTGTGGAGCATAAGAAATAACATGGAGGACATTAGGAGAAGGAAAGGAAAAGTGAATTGGGGTAAATCGGAGGGGGAGATGAAGCATGAAAGACAATGGACTCTGAGAAACAAACTGAGGGTTTTGGAAGGGAGTGATGGGAAGGATGGGTGAGCCTGGTGGTAGGTATTAAGGAGGGCAGGTATTGTGTGGAGCACTGGGTACAGTGCATAAACAATGAATCTTGGAACACTGAAAAAAAAAAAAAAAAAAAAAAAAAAAGGACTTTTGCCTTATACTTACAATGAGGTCCATAAAGTATTAGAGGTATTATGGATAGGAATATGTACTATGAAGAATAAAAGCAAAAAAGAAAAGAGTGAGCAGTTAAGGGTTAAGGTTTTATAAGAGGTGACCTTTGAACTAAAAACTGTATTACAATGTACTTCATTTTTATCAGTGTTACACATGCATATAAATTAGTCAGTTACATGGTTTATTATAAAAATGAAAATAGTCCTCCTGCACAGCCTCCAACTTACTTTTCTATTCTTTTAGACAATTCTTTTGATAACTTCCTCCATAGTTTTAAATAATATTCTAGTGCTATTTTTTTGGCTTTTCAGTTTTAATCATTATCTATTAAATAAATTCTATTAACTTCTGTATATTAGGAAATATAAGGATTTGGTGTAATTTTCAACCACCCCTATTCTCTTGTATGTATGTACATTATTCTCCTACTCTAATCCTCCCAATATAGAGATTATTATGACCATATAGATGATATTCATGGTTGAATAAAAATACTAAGAACTATTCATGGTTGACTATAACTTATAAAGTGTTGTGTTAGAGACCTTCTAATTCTATACATAATTCATATAATCCTCACAATAAAACTCTACAAGGGAAAACATTATTGCCATCCTCATTTTATAAATGTGGCATATTATGATCACTTTTCCTTCCTTTTGTAATTTTTTTTCCTGGAGTTAAGAATCCTCTCTCTTTAAGCCTTTTTTCTTGGACAGATTCCCCAAAGACAATTCTTCCGATCTCTTGCCTGAAAAGCCTAAGTTAGACCAGCTGACAATGCCATAGGAGCCAACTATGAAAAATAGGCTGGGAATTTTAACACCCAAGTATTTACACTTTCATTTAATCCTTTTCAGTACAGTATTCCTCCACCACCCAATGCTGCTCAACTGTATCCAGTGCACCAACCAAAGACCTCTGCTTTACCTTTTCTAGAGAACAAATTTCCAGCATTCTGCCAGAATATACACGGCAGTGAGAGAAGGCAGTTACCTAGGTATGCACACTAATGTTGAGATTGGAGATATCTACTTGTTTATTAAACCAACCTTCTGTTTATAGCCCCACTTTTAGATGTGTCTAGTGCTACCAAATTCTGAAATCACTGGGGGATTCAGTCAGGCAGTGAAATACTATTTCAGGCAGGCAGTCTAAATTGCATGCCTGCTTTCCCCCAAATATGGTTTTAGGAGTCAATTTTTTGACTTTTTGAGAAACTAAACTTAAGTTTCCCATCACGCTTCTATTTTCCAGGGGTTCCAGTATCAGTATCCGAGTAGACATAAATGTGGGGGGGTTTAAGTAAATGATCTTTAACTGGGACCCTAAACCAAGACTTAAAATAAGACTGGGTATATTTGCCATGTAGGAGGAATAACAAACAAAAATAAGGAGTTGTATAAAACAAGGTGGCCTGTTTAAAGCAGTTCAGTAAGGCCAGATGGCTAAGCATTAAGAGATATAAGGGTAGCTCTAAGAGTTAAAGCTAATTCAGAGCAGAAAAGGTTTACAGGCTAAACTAAGTTATACTTATTAACCCTAATTTTTATCTATATTTATTTAAACAACAACCTCCAGAAAACCAGGATATTAAAATAGTATTTCACAGTGGTATTCTTTATAAAGCCAAGGAATATTAATAGGCATTCTATGGAGGGGAAAAGTTTCTCAATAAAATATATTTAGGAAGCATTAGGTCAAACAAGTTTAAACAGTTTTCTTTATGACAGGTAATTACTGAACATCTAATATAACAGGAATTGTTATTTTCCAAGGAAGTAATGTATTTTGTGGTGTTTTCCAAACCCATATGACAACAAAAGACTTTGAAGAAACTATTCCACCATCTATTTATTACTTGTTACCTTACTGCTTGATGTCTTTCCACTGGGTTCACAAACATTCTCCAGAAGCCCTAGATTTCCTTCTGCATCAGTATAAGCTATTCGACCACAAGTAGGATGCCATGCCAGGCCACAGATTGCATAACCCTTCTCATGTTTCACCCTAAAAATTAAAAAGTGAGTTCTTAAAACAGTACCAAAGTATATAAACTATCCATTGCTTTAGGTTAATTTTAATTAGAAAGGTTAAATGACTTCTGACAAACTAATAACTATATACTGTATATTTGTATTCTGACAGTCTAATGATGGCAAAAATTTGAAATGCTTCATAATAAAACAAAAAATCTAATAGAAATGAGCATAAAAACAAAAAAACAACCAAAAAAAGAGGGGGTGGGGGTGCCTCGTTGGCTCAGTCAGTAGAGCATCCAACTCTTGATCTCAGGGTCGTGAGTTTGAGCCCCACACTGGGTATAGAGATTAGTTGGGGGAAAAAAAAAAAAAAAAAAGGACAAAAGATATGTTGAATCATACCTTTCCATGCAATCTTTGGTTTCCACATTCCAAACTATAATTAAACCATTAATACTCCCTGCAGCTAAATATTGCCCACAGGGAGACCAGGTTACTATATTTAGGGCCTATGAGGAAAAACAATGAATAAATAACAATCTGCACAATTCAAAACTAAACACTTATTTTTATTACCAAATTCAAATTTTCACAACCCATATTCTGTGTAACTTCGAATTAAACTGATTCATAAAGGCAGGATAGTTTGGCAAGACTTTCTAAATTTCTTTTTCAGTAATATTTAACTATCACTAGCAGCTCTTACTTTGTTTACCAAGAGAAAATTATATTGACACAATTTTAAAAGCAAAATCTAAAAACTGTTATTATCCTAGAATACAGATCATAAAAAGTACCCTCACAACCGTCCCTTTCAAGATGAAGAGAACCATAGTGAGTGAAGTGAACCATATTAAGCCATTGCTGACTTACTGGGCCTCTTCTTTCCTTGAGAGCCAAATGGGAATGTATAACAAAAAAAGAGAGAGAGAATATAGAACAATAAACTTTCCTGCCCTAACATTTCAGAGTCTATGATCACAAGTCTCAATGAAACTCACTAAACAATAAAGGCTAATTAATTACTGATGATGTGAAAATAACATGTTCTAATATTATGTTAGGGTTAAATATGACTTCTTATAAATTAAGAGATTTTCTTATCAAATATCATAAGGAGGGATGCCTGGGTGGCTCAGTGCGTTAAGTGGCTGCCTTCAGTTCAGGTAATGATCCCACGGTCCTGGGATTGAGCCCTGCGTCGGGCTCCTTGCTCAACAGGGAGCCTGCTTCTCCCTCTGCTTCTGCCTACCCTCTGCCTGATTGTGCTCTCTCTCTCTGACAAATAAATAAAAATGATATCTTAATTTGTTTTTTTCCACAAGGAAAAAGTTCACACAGGACCTAACAAACACCTATTTACTGTCCAGTTACCAGCTAAATGAAGAAGGCTGAGGGGCCAAAAGGTGGACACATGCACAACAATCTGGAGTTGTTCTCCATGTCCAACAGTACTTCACTACAACTATATTTAGGCAAAGTGTAATACTCCTGTTAGCCTAATGAAAGTTTCACTTATAAAACCTACCTGAGGGGGGGGGGGGAACCTACCTGAGAGATGAAACTGTCTGAAAGATCATATTGATTATTCCACGTTTCTCTTCTATATAGCTTAACAGACTTTTCCACAGGAACTGCCAGCAACTATTAGGAAAGACAAATGATTTAAACAAAAGTTTACATTAAATCAGAGAGAAAAAAAGCAAAAAAAATCATCCAAATAAGACTACAAAACATAAAAACAAAATTGTACTTTATTTGACAACTAACAAAATTCTGAAAATTACTTAAAAACTTGATAAGCAAAGAATGAGTGATCACTCTATTGCTTGCACTGACAACCAGAGCACTTATAGTTACATATTTTTGATACTACTTCTCAGGAATCTAAGCCCTTTGGATCTAAACATCTACCTCATTTGCCAAAAGGAAAGAAACAGATCCAGAATGCTTTAAATATATTGAGAAAAGGAAGCTGATTTTCTTAGACATTCTTCCAAAGAACAGACTAACAGAATAAAAACCATATATTCTTTCCATGTTTATACAAAAAAGAGAAAACTATATATTATTTATGAACAGAAAAACTATGTTAACTGTATTGATTTTTAATTGTTTCATGAGCAAAAAAAAAAAAAATACACACAAAATTCCTCAACTATCACTTTAACGCAGAATGTAGTAGTCTTAAGAGTGCACATGCTACAAAGGGCATACATTAAAAGAAAGTCTCCCTCCCATCCCTAAATCCTATTTTCATTATATATACCCTGCAGTGCATATATATAAATATGCTTACAGGATTTATGCCTAGAACTAGTACTGTTCATTCTGATAAAAACTGCCACACCTACTTCCACATAGTATATAATCAAACTTTTGATGTTTGGACATCTGATAAATGAAAAACAGGCTATCACAATAGTTTCAATTTGCATTTCTTTTGGTATGAAAGGTTGCATATACTTTCATATGTCAAAAGTCATCTGTATTATCTTTTTCTATACACTGCAAGTTCATGTCCTTGACCATCTTTCTATTAGTATCTTACCAACTTGGTTTTTTTTTGTTTTTTTTGTTTTTTTGAAAGGTTTTATTTTAGGGCACCTGGGTGGCTCAGTCATTAAGCGTCTGCCTTCAGCTCAGGTCATGATCCCAGGGTCCTGGGATCAAGCCCCGCATCGGGTTCCCTGCTTAGTGGGAAGTCTGCTTCTCCCTCTCCCACTCCCCCTGCTTGTGTTCCCTCTCTCACTGTATCTCTGTCAAATAAATGAATAAAATCTTAAAAAAAAAAAAAAAAAGAAGAAGGGAAAATTTTATTTTTATTTATTTTTCAAAAATCTTATTTACTTATTTCAGGGAAAGAGGGAGAACACAAGCAGGGGTAGACAGGCTGAGGGACAGACTCCCCACTGAGCAGAGAGCCCATTATGAGCCTCAATCCCAGGACCCTGAGATCATGACCTGAGCAACACAACACTTAACCAACTGAGCCACCCAGGTGCCCCGAAGATTTTACTTTTAAGTAATCTCTACACCCAACGTGGAGCTCAAACTCACAACCTTGAGATCAAGAGTTACATACTCTTACAAACGAGCCAGCCAGATACCCCAGATCTTACTGATTTTTAAGAACTTTTTTTTTCAAGAGACTGTTTATTTATTTGAGAGACAGTGTATGAGAGAGAACATTAGTGGGAGGAGAGGAGAGGGACAAGCCAACTCCCCATTAAGTGTAGAGCCCAACACAGGGCTTGATCCCAGGACCCTAAGATCATGACCTGAGCCAAAGTCAGACACTTAACCTACTAAGATACCCAGGTGCCCCGACTTACAAGAACTTTCTGAATTTTAAGAAAATTAACTCTTGGGGGCGCCTGGGTGGCTCAGCTGGTTGAGCGTCTGCCTTTGGCTCAGGTCATGATCTCGGGGTCCTGGGATCAAGCTCCATGTCGGGCTCCCTGCTCAGCTGGGGGGTCTGCTTCTCCTTCTCCCTCTGCAGCTCCCCAGTTGTGTATGCTCTGTCAAATGAATAAATAATAAATAAATAGAAAATTAGCTCTTTGTCCTCTTGTTTCAAACATTTTTCCCAGTTTGTCATTCGTTCTTTGAAATATTTCATACAAAAATGTGTGCTTTTTAATCTTCTCTGAAAAATTTCACATACACAGAAAAATTGAAAGAATTATACAGCAAACATGATTCATCATGTAGCAGGAAGCCTTTAAGATGGTTCTCAAAGATTCTCAGCTCCTGGTATTCATACTCTCTGCCAATGTATCTACTCAATCTTCTTTTCTCCACCTTTCAGTAAACGAACTCTTTACATACTGGATCTATTTCTCTGTTTAATAGATATCGACCCATGATTCAGTGGTACCCTTTAATTCTCATAGCATCATAATATGTGTATCCGACTCGATTAGACTCCAACACTTTTATTTTCTAAGACTTTGTTTTCCACATGGATTTTACAACAGCTCTACGGTCCCCTTCAAACATCTTACTCATATTTCACATTTGAATGTTCTCTAAACTATAGGTTAATTTAGGAAAGAACGGACATCTTTATATCGAAAATTCCCTTCTAAAAATGGAATATATTTTTCTATTTAAGTCTTCTTTTACTCCTCTTGATAGCACATTAAAGTCTTCATTATACAGCCCTTTCACATTTTGGTAAGTTTACCCTTGTTATTTCATCTTTTTTGATTTCACAGTAAATGCACCATTTTCCCCCATTATATTTTCTAATAATTATTATTTTTAAAGATTTTATTTATTTGTCAGAGAGAGAGCGAGCGAGCGAGCACAGGCAGACAGAGTGGCAGGCAGAGACAGAGAGAGAAGCAGGCTCCCCGCCAAGCAAGGAGCCCCATGTGGGACTCGATCCCAGGACGCTGGGATCATGACCTGAGCTGAAGGCAGCTGCTTAACTAACTGAGCCACCCAGGCGTCCCTCCCCACCATATTTTCTAAATGGCTATTTTTTATATATAGGATTGTTACTGGGTTTGCATATTAGTTTATTTCCAAATACCCTGCCGGATTTTCTTACTAATAATATTTTTCCCTCAGTTGATTTCTTAAGATCTTATATTCAACCATTTCATTTGTAAATAATGAGCATTCTCCATCCTCTTTTCAAACAATTCCTACCTTTCTGTTGTCTATCAGGTGCTACTAAAAATGTTAAATGCTACTAGTAAGAGGTAGACATAACAAGACTTTCCCAAGTTGTTCCATTATATACAAAATAAAGAATATAAAATTAACTCATACAAAATGTATGCTTCAGAAAGAACCTTTACAAAGTTAACATGTTTCCTTTTTTTTTTTAAAGTAGGGTCCATGCCCAGCATGAAGCCCAACCCAGGGCCTGAACCCAAAATCCTGAGAAATCAAGGCCTGAGCCCACACCATCAGTCATACACTTTAACCAAATGAGCCACCCAGGCACCCCCAAAGTTAAAACATTTCTTAAAGCATTTCAATACTTATTGGTTGGCTTGGGGCACTAAAACTTACAACCTAAATGAAACAGTTACAATTTAAAAAACTAATTCTACTATTTTCATATTCAAAGTTGACAAGAACTACAAGTAACTAAAACAAAGGTTGAAAAGTAAGAGTCACTTACCTTCCCACTTTTTGGTTGCCAAGCAAGTCTGCAGATTGATTTTGCATTTATCACATCATTGCATTTTTGTAGCAGTGGCCAACTAATAGAACAAGTCTGATATTTTAAAAAAGAAAATTTATTTCCTTTTATGAAACTTCTCCCAAAGAGATATGCAGAATGGAATATATTTCAGAGGTGCTTTCTTCAACTGACATATAGCTATGAAAAAAGCAACTTGATTCACTTTCATCTAACTATGATATATGATTGACCTAAATTACTTTAAATAATTCAGAGATATAAAAAGCACAAATCTTAAATATTTAATTAAATAAGTGTATTTCCTATACAGAATAAGCAAACAATATACTCACTGAATACACGTATATACACACATTAAAAAAAAAAACTCAATACACTGAATTCTTAAAACATCTACAAAAATAAAGTCAAGAAATCTATAAAATGTTAAGGTATCAAAGTCAACCCTTTAAAACAGTTCAAACATGAGCGGAAAAAACTGGCTATTGAGGCATACCCTGTGGGGGATACTTTCCTCATCAGCCACATTATCTCTAGAATGCCTCAGGAAGAATTAATTGTTCCCTTTGCCAATCCAGAGACCACTTCCCAACACATGGTAGTTCATAGTAGAGTAAATATATACTGACAGATTTTTTTCCCCACTGATTTATAAAACCTAAAACTGAAATATAAATCTATTTCCCATGTGTTTGGGTATAAACACAATTACCCTTCAACACATTTTCACATTAGGTTATTACAGGATTTGATCACAAAAACAGTACTCAATGCTTCTAAAAAAAAAAAAAAAAAAACTATAAAGAAGAATTATTAATTTGACCCCATGCTATGTAATACCACATTTATGGCAGAAATGAGCACAAAGTTTTAAATTCAAATTGATAAGTTTACCTGATCTGAAATTTGCCACACTTTGACAGATCCATCACAACTAGCTGATGCCTGCAAGAATAAAATATATTTCTCTATGGTTACAGCCATAATTCCATAAGGTAATTGGTGAAACTGATAAACCAAATAGCCTTTTTATCAACTGTGTGAAATTTTCTGCTAATTCCCTTATAATTTTAAAAATACTGAAAAAAAAAAAAGAAGAAGAAATGGAAAAAATGATTACCAGAAAGATGCCCTTAGGATCAAAGGAAAGACTTAAAACAGGAGCATCATGTCCTCGAAATGTTTTCTGTTGGCTGCAATCCATCACATCCACAACTTTGAGTAGAAAATCACTATGAACAATAAGAGTAATGTATAACAGAGTATTAATAAATACCCATACAAAAACCTCTCCTACATCTATGACCCAAATATTTCAAAATCACAAGAGTAAATGTCATAATTTCTTTACAGCAACATGTAAAATTTGGCATCCAAATTTAAGGATCTACTTTTTAATCTTGGCTCTGTAAAGATACTAAAAACACAACTCAGGATTTCCCTTTAAAATACAAATACTTCCTAAGTGGCTTCCTTCATTACATTTTAAGTGTCTATTATTAATTAATTAATTAAAGTCCCAACCGTTTTTATTTTTAAGTCACAGCCACTTTTTTTTTTTTTAGATTTTTTTTTTTTTTTAATTATTATTTGACAGAGATCGCAAGTAGGCAGAGAGGCAGGCAGAGAGAAAGGAGGAAGCAGGCTCCCTGCCTAGCAGAGAGCCCGATGCGGGTCTCGATCCCAGGACCCTGGGATCATGACCTGAGCTGAAGGCAGAGGCTTTAACCCACTGAGCCACCCAGGCACCCAAGTCACAGCCACTTTTAAAAGCACTATGTCAGGGGCATCTGGGTGGCTCAGCTGGTTAAGCAGCCAGCTCTTGATAGCGGCATAGGTCATGATCTCAGAGTCCTGGGATCCAGCCCTGTGTTGGGCTCCATGCTCAGCAGGGAGTCTGCTTGAGATTTTTCACTCTCCCTCTCTACCCCTCCCCTTCCTCATGCACACTCTCTCTAAAATAAATAAATTCTAAAAAAAAAAAAAAAATACTATGCCTTTTATTCCCCTCAGCAATTCATTAGTTCCTTTCTTTGACATTCTTCCATATGACAAATAAGCATAAAGAGAAACAACAAAAATTCTGACAACTGAAGTTCTTCCCGAGATGATTTTTAAAATTTCGTATCAAACTATCATGTTTCCCCAATCTTTTTCAGCATTCATTGAACAGGCTGTCTGCAAAGCAGTCTATCTCAATTAACAAAGAAGCACAAGGTTGCCCTCAAAAACCTTTACTAAAGACTTGAATATAAAAATTAAGTGGGGTACCTGGTTGACTCAGTCAGTTAAACATCTGACTCTTGATTTCAGCTCAGGTCATGATCTCAGAATTGTGAGACAGAGCCCCACATCAAGCTCTGAGCTGGGCATGGAACCCACTTAAGATTCTCTGTCTCCCTCTCCCTCTGCCCCTCCCCACCCCACAAAAAATTAAGCACCCTCCCCGCGTGCACGCGCATGCACACACACACGGGACAGAGTCCTGAAAATGTTACACTGAAGCCAATGAATGAGGCCATTCTGTTCTAATATTACTTCCTTTTCGGGTATCAGAGGGCCTTACCTAGATCCAGCAGCAACTTTTCCACCATCCCCATTAAAGACCACATGGTTTGCATTTGTGGTGAAGCGAGTCAATATACCATCTGGAACTCCTTCAGGAAATGTGTGGACTTGAATAGTATTATTAGATACTGCAGTGACCAATTTCCCATTCTAAAAGAAACATTGGCAAAAAAAGTCCTAATCAATTGAGTCTCTCCATACTTAACAATCCTATAAAAAACATAAAAGCTTATAATTTTAGTTAATGTCAAGAGAAAAATCATCATTCAATGTACAAGTTTCCTGAAGTACCTATTAGCAAAAAAAATTTACTTACTACCTTTACGCAATTTAATTCTCACTTCATCAGCCAAATTTTTAGCCTCTGAATTTTCATTTACTTCTGACAAGAAAATTATTTAAATAGTATTTTTATGCATCCCCAAGTGTCATGAAAGAGACTCAAGGGAGCTTTTCAGAAAAAATACATAGCTAGTCTCAGTGAGGGAACAGCACATCAGAAGGTATGGCTGGACTACAGCGTTGCCACTATGTTTCCACAATAAAATCATCAGATATCTTTGGAGTAAGTAAAATCTACATGCAGAATCCATGGCTTCTCTCTTTAAAAACACTAAGTAAGAAGACAGCAGAATCGGAGGATCCTAAAAATAATACACTTATAATGATGAACAGTGTAAAATGGTTGAGAATCACTATATTGTACAACTGGAACTAATATAACACTGTAGTTAATTATACTGGAAGTAAAAATATAAACAACCTTTTTAAAAATAATAAAAACGCTAAATGAACAGAAACTTTTAGGATCTGAAAATGATCAGCAGATACCAATGCTCTGCATAGATTTTGGCTAAGAATCATAAAAGGTCAAGTATCTGCCCTAGAACCTTAATTTTATTACTTACTTCTCTAGGAGGAACTAAGTCCTGACAGACTAAATCATTGTCTACCAATGCCTTACATGCTCTAATAAATCATAATCAATTATTTAGATTAAATGGTAACTGCCAAAGAAACAAATTACTCAAGTTTGTTAATAAATATCATATAGCAATAGGTCTCAGTCATATTTGCACATGTAAGACCCTCTGCTTTGTCTACAACACCTGCTCTCACTCCAATGGAAAAGGAACTTGGTAATACAGTGACATTTTACTACATAGAAAATTGGGGAAGATGTATACATCTGTTCAAGGAACAGTACAGATGACTCAGATTTGAACTATAATATAAACTTATCTTCAATTACTGGAAAATCGGTGAAAAAAACTGTTTATGCCTACTTTGTAACTACTGTTCAAGTAATTAAACAATCCACAATACACTAAATCTATCAGAAGCTAATCTAACAATAACTTAAACGTGAAAACAAGAAGAGAATTCAGGAAAAACTAACCAACTCAAGACAACACATGATGCTACATGTTCTTTGGCAAAACTGCAGAAACATCAACTATATGTATGCATGTACAGGAATTTTGCAACCTGGCTGTGCTTTACTTGGCAGACAGATCTCTCAGTGGAATCCAACTAAGCATCCTCAGTTACATCTAGTAAAGAGTTCTGGTAACCATTAACTGGTCCTCTATTCATGTGAAAATATTAAAGTATATATCTATACTTACTCACCCAAGAGACCTGAATAAAGGACGTGCTTTGAAGTCAATTTCCAACAAATCTACTGGGAAACCAAATCATTATCAGTTCTTTATCAACTAGTAAAGCTAAAAAAAAAGAAAACACTCAAAAAGAATCGGGGATCTGGTCAGATCACTCTTCTCCCTAGTAGACTGAGAAGAATGGGTCCAAGCACAGGCTGACTTGAGCTCCAGCCCACTGTGTTCCTTTTTTTTTTTTTTTTAAGATTTTTATTTATTTATTTATTTGACAGACAGAGATTACAAGTAGGCAGAGAGGCAGACAGAGAGAGAGGAGGAAGCAGGCTCCCTGCTGAGCAGAGAGCCCGATGTGGGGCTCGATCCCAGGACCCTGGGATCATGACCGAAGGCAGAGGCTTTAACCCACGGAGTCACCCAGGCACCCCTGCCCACTGTGTTCCTTACCAACAGTGTCAATTGACCTTCTTCAGAGCTTTGACCTTTCCAAGAATAAAATGGAGGTAATTTCACATACTTCCCCGTATCTTTGTTAAAAGGCCTTGACAATGTAAAATACTATGCAAGCTTTAACTATTACTACCAGTTGATTCATCGCATTTTTACTGTTTTTGGAGAGTGATATTTTCTCCACTTTGTTCTCAAACAAAACATCTGACCGTACTTCCCAAAAGACTCCAAAACAAAATGACTCCAAAAACAGAAAGTATATTTATAAGCAATTATATTTTAAAAGGAAATCTGTTGTAAAATTTTCAGCTTCCCATGGCTATGTGGTAAAGTCATTTAAATGAAGTACCATAAACTCTATTCCTAAAGCCAAAGAAAACATTTAAGCACAGACTATCAGACTTGTAGTGGATTGAATAATGGCCCCCAAAAGACATGCCTAAGTCCTAAGTCCAGTCACCTGTGAATGTGGTCTTATTTAGAAATAGGGTCTTTGCACATGTAGTAAGTTAAGGATCTAAATCTAATGACTGGTGTCCTTATAAGAAAATGGATAGATTTGAGACACAGAGAAGAAGGCAATGTGAAGATAGAAGCAGAGATTGGAGTGATGTATCTTCCAACTAAGGAACACTGAGGATAGCTGGCAACCCACCAGAAGCTAGAAAAAAGGCATGGAACAGACTCTCAGGGTCTTGGAGTTAACCCTGCCCACACCTTGATTTCAGGCATCTTGCCTTCTGAACTGTGAGACAATAATTTTCTGTTGTTTTAAGCCATTGAGTTTGTGAAAATTTGTTACAGCTGCCCTAGGAAACTATTACAAGACCACTTTTTTTTTTCCTTCTTTACAGTCTTTTCATACACAAATAATGCAGTGCATACATACTGTATAAGAAAATTAAAAAACAAATTGTTCTGGCCAAAGCATGAGTTTCCCTACTCTAATGAAATAATCTCCACTAACATTTTGGGGTTAAGTCTTTCTAACTCTCTTATGTACATTTATGTATATATGTATCCTTTATCTTAAACATAAGACTACACAATACAGACTACTCTGCAACTCTCTTTCATTTTTCAACTCATTGCAAATATCTTTGCAGATGAAGATATATAAGACTACACAATACAGACTACTCTGCAACTCTCTTTCATTTTTCAACTCATTGCAAATATCTTTGCAGATGAAGATACATAGCACTCACTCTTTTTTTTTTTGTGGCTACATAAAAATACATTTCATGGGTCTACTAAAATACATGAAATAGAGGCGTCTGGGTGGTTCAGTTGGTTAAGCATCAGCTTTCGGCTCCAGTGATGATCCCAGGGTCCTGGGATCCAGCCCCGGACCTGGCTGGACTTCCTGCTCAGCGGGGAGCCTGCTTCTCCCTCTTCTTGCCGCCCTCCTGTGCTTTCTCTTGCCATCTCTCAAATAAATAAATAAAAATCTTTAAAAAAAATTTTACAAAACAAATTCTCTCCTGAAGGACACTTCAATCAGTTCTAACTTATAAACAATAATTTTAAAAATATACTTGACCACACAAATACAAGGAATATAATTTCCTCAGGGTAAAGGGTACCTGGGTGGCTCAGTCAGTTAAGAAACTGCCTTCAACTCAGGTGATGATCCCAGGTTGTGGGATCAAGCCCCATGTCAGGTTCCCTGCTGAGTGGTAAGCCTGTTTCTCCCTCTGCCTGTCCCTACCCTCGCTTGTGCTCTCTCTGACAAATAAATAAAATCTTAAAAAAAAAAGAAAAAAAAAAAAAAAGAGGGCGCCTGGGTGGCTCAGTGGGTTGAACTCTGCCTTTGGCTCAGGTCACGGTCTCAGGGTCCTGGGATCGAGTCCCGGGTCGGGCTCTCTGCTTAGCGGGGAGCCTACTTCCCCCTCTCTCTCTGCCTGCCTCTCTGCCTACTTGTGATCTCTGTGTGTCAAATAAATAAATAAAATCTAAAAAAAGAATTTCCTCAAGGTAAATAGCCAGAAATGACTACGTGCATTTAATGTTTTATACACAGTATGAATTCACTCCCTTTTTTTTTAAAATTTGAAAGAGTGCAAATGAGGGGGGGGAAGGTCCATCTAAGGAGCAGAGGGAGTATGACAAGAAGACTCCTTGTTTGTTTGTTTGTTTTAAAGATTTTATTTGTCTATTTGACCGAGAGAGACACAGCCAGAGAAGGAACATAAGCAGTGGGAGAGGGAGAAGCAGGCTTCCCGCCAAGCAGGGAGCCCGATGGAGGGCTCCATCCCAGGACCCTGAGATCATGACCAAAGCCGAAGGCGATGCTTAACGACTGAGCCACCAAGGGGCCCAAGAAGACTTCTTGTTGAGGACGAAGCCTGTCATGGGGTTCTATCCCACAACCCTGAGATCATGAACCAAGCTGAAATCAAAAGCAGGTCAACCTACTGAGTAGCTCAACCACTGAGCCACCCAAACATTCCTCAATTTACTTCTTAAAAAGCTCCCCAAGCACACCTGGGGACTTGATTTCAGCTCAGGTCATGATCTCGGGCTCATGAGATGGAGCCCTGAGTGGGGCCTACTTAAAATTCTCTCTCTCTTCCCTCTGCCCCTTCCCCCACAAAAAAAACAAAAAAACCTCACAAAACTCCCCAGTTACATTTCCAGCAACTGTTGTGCAATACTGTAAAATAACAGAAAATACATATTGGTCTCTGCCTCTTATTCCTGGCAGAGTTCCTAAAACCCTTGTAATTTCCTAAGTGATAAGACTACTAGGAGCAGCTTTTGCTCTAATATTTGGTCTTTGATCCCAGTTCCCGACACAAGCTCCTAAATCCCCTGAGATTTCCTGGGTGATAGAAAATACCCTTCAAAGGAGGCAATTCTTGGTGGGCTCCTGGATAGCTTCAGGATGAGGGCTGGTCATCAGAAAAATCAAACCATGATTAGAAACAGAACTTTCAGCCTTATGCCATCATCATCCAAGAAAGGGAGAAGGGCTGGAAATGGAATTAATAATCAATTATGCCAATGTAATGAAGCCTCCATAAAAATCCCAATGGTATGGGGTTCAAAGAGCTTCTCAGTTGGTGAACACAACCCCAATAACAGGAGGGCAGAGGATCCCAACTCCACGGGGGAAAAAAAAGCCTTTCAGACCTCTCCTATATACTTCTTCATCTGGCTGTTCACCTGTATCCTTTCTCTATATTTCACTACATAATGAACTGGTAGGAGTGTTTCCCTGAATTTTGTGAGCTATTGTAGCAAAAGACTGACTCCAAGTAAGGGGTTGTGGGAACCTCTGATTTATAGCCAAGTAGGACAGATGCTGTGGGTAACGTGGGGACCTACTACTTGCAACTATTATCTGAAGTGGGGGACAGTCTCATGGGACTGAGCCCCTGAACTCTAAGGTCTGTGCTCACTCCTGTCAGTGTCCAAATTGAACTGAACTGTAGGACACCCAGCCAGTATTACAGAAAATTGCTTGGTGTAGGAGAAAAAACCCACATACCTGGTGCTGGAAATGTTATGAGGAAGGTAGTAGTGTGAGAATAAAGGAAAAAGATGGGAAAATGTTCTTCCTTTACAAATACTTACTTCTCCAAACCCTCACTATTACTGGAATTAGCAATATTTTTCACCCTTGCCAATCTGATAGAAAAAAAAATTCAATTGTTTAATTTGTACTTCTTTGCTTATTAGTGAAATTTAACTTGTATCTAATATATGTTGGTCATTTCTATTTTTCCTTCTGGGAATATATTTTCCATTATATATGACCATTTTTTTTTTTTAGATTTATTTATTTGAGAGAGAGAAAGAGAGCACACATGAGAATGCGCAGAAGGGGGAGGGAGGAAGAGAGAAGCTCAAGCAGACTCCATGATGAGCACGGAGCCTGACACAAGGCTCAATCTAAGCCTGAGACCACCACCAGAGCCAAAACCAAGAGTTGGAAGCTTAACTAACCGCACCACCCAGATGCCCCTATATAGGACAATTTTAAAAAGAACATCTTAAGTATCTAAAGACTATCTCATTCATCTACCTTAATGAGCCTGGGTTTGAAAAAAACATGAATTCTGTGAAAATACTTTTTTCTACCCAAATACAATACACTCAACTTAAAATTCATCACAAATAAAAAGCTTAGTGGTTTTTAGATACTTAGTTTGCAAAGGTCTTCTGAAAACATGTCTCCATTCTCCAAATAACCTACATATCATTCCCCTATTTACCTTACATAAAACATTAGAGGGGCGCCTTGGTGGCTCAGTTGATTAAGCGACTGCCTTCAACTCAGGTCATGATCCCGGAGTCCCGGGATTGAGGCTTCCAGCTCCATGGGGAGTCTGCTTCTCCTTCTGACCTCCCCTCTCTCAGCTTTGCGCAGTGGCAGGCAGTGGCAGTATCGTAGCCAATGAGTTTTATCCGAGGCGCGATTATTGCTAACTGGCCTCCCCTCTCATGCTCTCTCTCACTCTGTCTCTCTCTCTCTCTCAAATAAATAAATAAAATCTTTTAAAAAAACCAAAAACATTAGAAATATGTATATGTCTTGAAAAAGTTAAAATATTCCTCTTTTCTAGTGTAATTGGTTGTCTAAATTAGTGAACTAAAAACCTGAAAATGCCATGGAGTTTTCTCTCAAAGGGTAATAAAGGGAACATTTAAATATCAAAAGAAAAAGTATAATCTCTTGCAAATATTTTAATTGGTTTACCATTAATAAACCATTAATCACCTTTAATAAACCATTCAGATTTTTTAAATTTTTATTTAAGATTATTTATTTATTTGACAGAGAAATAGGGAGCACAAGGAGACAAAGCAGCAGGCAGAAGGAGAAGGAGAAGCAGGCTCTCTGCCAAGCAGGAAGCCCCATGCAGTGCTCAATCCCAATAGGACCTGAGCTGACGGCAGCCGCTTAACCAACTGAGCCACTCAGGTGCCCCCCATTCAGATTTTAGATTCAGACTTTAAACCCATTCAGATTCAGATTTTACTTGTAAAAATTTTGGGAAATTTATGGTATTATTATTGTACACATATGAGTAGTATGATTTTATAAGAGAAACAAATAAAAAGCACATTCAAAACTTCAACAAAAATATTCTTTACCCATTTATAAAATACCAAATAGCAGTATCACTTCTCATGGTTTGCTATAAATGTTTTCAATACCTTCAAAGCACATGAATATGCCTTTTCTCCAACGTTAATGGACTTAGGATCATCATCATCTAAGTCTTCCCAAATCCTCACATCACCATCACTTCCACAAGTCACAATGTAACTGTGAAGGGAACACACTCATTAAAAGGTCATCCAAGTTTCAGGAAAGAAAAAGAAAGGTCACCCAGTTTTAGGCCTATTAATTTTTTTGGAATACTTTATCTTTTTTTTCAATAAAATTAAAGTGTTACTCAATTTTTTCTCACTTTACATACATAGGCCTCAATAAAAAGGCCTGCTAAATCTCCTATCCTATAAAATGAAAAGTGAGTTTAATGTTCCCTACAGTTTCTCCTTGGCATAAAATTCTTTATCTGTAATAATGTAAGAAAGGTGAATGGGTAATCTCTGTTAACAACAGGGACCTGGTCTACCTTGCTCACCACTGTGCCTCTAGCACAAAGCAAGCTGACATATAGAAGCCTTGATAAATATTTGTTGAATGAGTAAGTGGACAGATACAAGAGCTCAGTTATCCAAAGCTGATTATTCAAATGGCCACCTGTATCTCTCAAGTCTTGTTTTAAACCCGTATTCCTGATGCTTTTATTCATTTGGTATGTGTCCTATTTATGTGTCCTGACACATATAAAAGCAAAAAATATAAAAAAGTAACATGGCAAATGGCAAAGAGAAGCCGCATAAAGAACTGTAGAGGTTCATAAGAAAGGTGGTGTCTACATGGGGAAGTCAAAGGGCAAGTAGAACTGGATATGCTGAGATTGGTGAAAAGAGCAGTTCCACAGGAAACCACATGAACCACAATATGAAGTTAGTAAAATATGGGGGAGTTCACTTACAACAGAGCAGACAGTACAGGAAATTGAGAAAGAAAATGCAGATTGGGGGTCATCCTATTTACAATGATCTTAACGCAAGGGTAGAAGCTTGGATTCCCTTCTATAGGAAATAAATAGAACCATTGGTCTTTTCGTCTAGGACATTCCTTTTTTTTTTCTTTTCTTAAAGATTGTATTTATTTGCTAGAGACAGAGAGAAACCACAAGCCAGAGGGAAAAGCAGACTCTCTGCTGAGCAGGGAGCCCAAAGAGGGGCTCAATCCCAGGACTCTGTGATCATGAACTGAGCTGAAGCCAGACACTTAACCACTGCGCCACCCAGGTGCCCCAGCCTAGGATAATCCTGATTTATGCATACAGCTGGTTTAGAATAGGTCCTCATTTTTTTTTTAATTTTAAGACATATTAGTATTGGGGCACCTGACTGGCTCCGTCAGAAAAGCCTGTGACTCTTAATCTTGGGTTGTGAGTTTGAGCCCCATGTTGGGTATAGAGGTCACTAAAAAAAAATACATAAACTTTAAAAAAATAAATAAAATGTAGTATCTTTTAAAAAATATATTAATATTATTTGCATCAAAACTGGTTGGGTGGGTTTGACAGACCTCTGTATTTCCAGCTTCTGCCATGATCTTGTTTACTAGTGAAACATGTACAATTAAAGAATTCTCCCTTTATCACATAAGTAAATCTAAAAGACAAGTGATAACCCATCTCCCCATTCCAATCCTTTTTTTTTTTATTAGCATATAACATATTATTTGTTTCAAGGGTACAGGTCTGTGAATCATCAGTCTTACAGTACTTGATGCAACATAACTAAGAACTCCTTTCGCAGACAATAGGGGCTAACAAACAAAAACTAAAGTGAAGCCAGTCAAGAGGCCTTACAGTGATTTCTTCCAGTCCTCAGTAGTGATGGGGTAAGGACTTCATATTGCTGTCCCTACTGACTATTTGACCCAGTCAGCCAGCCAGCAAGGGAGAAGTTGCAGGTGCCAGTTGGCAGTACCAATGGCAAATTATAGTGAAATACAGTGGAATTAATGAGAAATATATGCAACAAATAGTTAAGTTAAATAGTTAAGTTGAGCTTTTAGAGTTGCCTGAACATTCTTCTCACTGTGTTTTTGTCATTTACTACAGGAATAAAACTGTAGTTTTATTATTGATTATGCCTTTTAATGAAATACCTTATAGTAACAACTAAAAAAAATGCTATAAATTTAACAAAAGTACACATTTAACAAAAAATTAAATACTACATTTCTGCTTCTCAAGAAGTTAATAATGGAACTGTAACATGAACAAAATGTTAGTTGACGTTTATCATGGGGGCTGGAGTGATAAACCAACCATATGAAGTCAGAAGACACAAAATTCCTGAAGAAACCTGAGCATCTACTTTGTAAGTTAGTAGTTATTTTGTGACTCCCTGAAAACCATGCTTCTACAGCTGCAGAGTCTGCATCTTGTCAGTGGAACTTTTCATAATTTAGTAGTGTCCAATAGAACTTTCTTAAAGGATGGAAATGGTCTCAATCAGGCTCCTGAGTAATTAAAGTGGGGTTTAAAATGTCACTCATGCAACTGAGGATCTGAATTTTAAATTTAATTAACTTTAATTAAAATCTAAAGAGCCACTAGTGGCTATTGTACTGAACAGTGCAGCATTAAAACAGATGACAGCGGTTCTAAATTAATTTTGTTCATTTTTCATTTTAATTTTTCTAATTCAAATATGAAGTAAAATTATAGCTGTTAATACGTTGTTGCCATTAGTAAAATAATTTTCCAAACAGTTAAATGATACTGGCTTTATTTCAAAGTCATCAGAGAGTTTAAATAGAGAATCAGTCAGATTAATTCCAATAATGGCTTAGTCTTCTCTTCAGCTCATGGAAACAAAGTAAAGCTTCTAGAAGTTTACTCTGTGGACGTGAAACATCTAACATTATTGGCAATTCTATATAACTTCATTTGAAAAGTTCAATGCTAAAGATAAAATTCTTAATTTTTGTACTAATACAACATTTTGGTTGAGCACAGCACTGTAGCAAAAACAATGTACTTACTGAGTTAAGAAACCTATGAAACATATATGTACTTCAAATTGAAAGCATAATTCATAACCAAATGCACTGTGATAATGTAACTAATTAAAACAGAAGCCATAGTTGTCAAATTCTGAGATCATTTTATTTATACCAGAAAAATAACAAAATTTTTGTAACAAACTGATATTAAATACATAAAAATACTTCAGCATTGCATGAGGTGCTTTCTCTTCTACCTATCATCACTTGGGATTTTTTAAATATTTGAGCCTTTGAAAAGTGACTTTTTAAATTTTTTTTTTTTTAAAGATTTTACTTATTTATTTGACACTCAGAGATCACAAATAGGCAGAGAGGCAGGCAGAGAGAGAGGAGGAAGCAGGCTCCCCGCCGAGCAGAGAGCGCTATGCAGGGCTCGATCCCAGGACCCTAGAATCATGACCTGAGCTGAAGGCAGAGGCTTTAACCCACTGAGCCACTCAGGCGCCCCTGAAGAGTGACTTTTTAAAATTTAAATTCAATTAGCTAACATATAGTGATGATTAGTTCTAGATCTAGTGTTCTTCGATGATTCATCAGCTGTGTATAATACCCAGTACTCATCACAGCAAGTGTCCTCCTTGATGCCCATCAACAAGTAACCCCATGAAGAGTGAATTTATAAAACCTACGTGTCCTATAATGATGGTATTATTATTACTGGAAACAAGTTCCCTAAGGCTTAGTAGCATCTTGCTCAAAATCAGTTAACAATCTTTAATTTAAGCATTCAACTTAAGGCTTTGAAGCTTTCCGTAAAATGCAGTTAATGAAAACAAAGCTTATGCACAGGAAGATAACTAAAACATATCACTTCAAAAGCAAATAAGAATTGAACAAACTGTACATTAAAAGCTGAAAGACTGAATGATATAATATTGAAACTCGCTAATTGTACTCTGGAATATCTTAACCTGTGAGAAGAATCTTTTGAGGGAACTCCTTATTCAACTGTATAAATTTATGAACTTATTCATAAATTTATTTTTAAATTTTTTATTTAAATTTTTAAATATTAAATTAAGTACACTTAAAATTTGTGAAACATTCAAAGAAACCACACACAACTTACCTGATGAATTTTATCTTTAAAAATATTAAAGAACTAATAAAATAAAATTTTAAAATATTGAAGAGCTCACTACTGAAAAAGGATACTCTGAATACAGGTTAAAAAAAAAACAGAACTTGTAAAAATACTGAAGGTGAAAGATTTACCTATTTAAAATAAATTTTTTAAAAATTGAGACTCTTCTGGGACGGCTGGGTGGCTCAGAAAGTTGTGGTTCTGCCTTCAGCTCAGGTCGTGATCTCCAGGTCCTAGGATGGAGCCTCATGTCAGGCTCCCAGATCAGTGGGGAATGTGCTTCTTCCTCTCCCCCTGCCTCTCCCCCTGCTTGTGTTCTCTCTGTCTCTCTCTCTCTCTAATGATTAAATAAAACCTTTACAAAAAAATAAAAATTGAGATTCTTCCATTTAATAGAATTTGCTCTGACCTTACCAGGTACGTGAGAACCTAAAGAGAGTATTTTCTTTTTTTTTTTTTTTTAAAGATTTTATTTATTTATTTGACAGAGAACACAAGTAGGCAGAGAAGCAGGCAGAGAGAGAGAGAGAAGCAGGCTCTGCACTGAGCAGAGAGCCCGATGCGGGGCTCGATCCCAGGACTCTGGGATCATGACCTGAGCCGAAGGCAGAGGCTTTAACCACTGAGCCACCCAGGCGCCCCAAGAGAGTATTTTCTGATTGAAAAGTATTATGGTCTAGGGTCACATGGGTGGCTCAGTCAGTTAAGAATCTGTGTTGGACTCAGGTCATGATCCAGAGTCCTGGGATAGAGTCTGCCATCCATCAGGGCTCCCTGCTCTGCCTGCTGCTCCCTCTGCTTGCCCGCTTGTGCATGGGTTCTCTCTCTCTCTGACAAATAAATAATCTTCAAAAAAAAAAGTCACTGAAGGTCTCACTTCAAGGTCTCACCATAAATTTAACTCTGAGGAAGACTGCAATTTTGTAATAAAAATAAAAAGACAATATTGAAAAAAATATTTTTCAGAAAAATATCAGCAATATCATGTTAGAGACAGGCTAAAAAATGATTAAAGTACATGAATATGTACCAAAAATATTCTACTAATGTAAATGTTTGGATTATATGTTTAATGTTT